TTAATAAAATGCCACGTGAAAAATCCAAAAATTGTACAGCAAGGCCGATCGCTATTATTTTTTGTTTCTTTTGGAGTGATTGTCGCGTAAAACAAAAATCATGTGCTCACACCAAGCACAACAGATGCAGCAAGTGCAACAGATGTCTACTTGCTACGAGTTATATGGTGAAGGTCACACAAGTGACATATGCCCTGTGAATCCTGAATCCATCTACTATATGGGGCAACAATCTAGAGGGCCGATGAATCTAAATGCTCAATATGGTAACACATACAATCCGAACTGGAGGAATCATCCTAACTTCACTTGGGGTGGAAATTAGAATATCAGGCCTCAAGCTAATTACAATCAACCACCTAAACCCCCACATCAAGCAGAAGAGAGTTTGACGGATATGATGAAACAACTCTTGATGGACAATAAACAATTGCGCATAGAGTTCAAAAATCTTGAGTGGCAGTTTGGGCAAATGGCTAACAATCAGAATACTAGACCTGTTGGGGCCCTTCCAAGTGATACAGAGAAAAATCCTCAAGTCAATGCAAGTTACCTTGAGAAATGGAAGAGAATTAGAAGAAGTTCCAGAGAAAAAGAAGTATACAGCTAGACCTGAAGGAGAATTAGTTCCTAAGCCCCTTGAGGAGAATAAGAAAGAAAAGCCAGAAATTGTGACAAGGCCACCACCTCCATGTCCACAAAGACTTCAAAAGCAAAAAGATGATGCTATGTACAAGAAATTCTTAGATATTTTGAGCCAAGTACGTGTGAATTTGCCGTTGGTGAAAATTTTGCAGGAAGTGCCTAAATATGCAAGGTATCTTAGGGACATTGTGGCAAACAAGCGAAGACATACAGAGTTTGAAACAATTGCACTTATTGAAGAGTGCGGTGCTAGAGTTCAGAGTAAACTTCCTCCTAAGTTGAAGGATCCTGGGTGTTTCACAATTCCTCTATCTCTCGGAAAACAAGAAGTTGGTAGAGCCCTGTGTGATTTAGGGGCTAGTATAAATTTGATGCCATCCTCTTTGTTCAAGCAACTCGGATTGGGGGTGCTTAAACCTACTACAATCACTTTGCAGTTGGCTGATAGATCACTAGTTATTCCAGAAAGAATTATTGAGGATGTGTTAGTTCAAGTGGGAAAGTTTATTCTTCTTGCTGATTTTATTGTTCTTGATTACGAGGCAGATGAGAAAGTACATATTATTATGGGGCGACCATTCTTAGCTACTGGTGGAGCACTTATTGATGTTAGGAAAGGGAAGTTGAAGATGAGAGTTGGCGATGAGAAAATCACTTTTAATGTGTACAAGGCACTTAATCTCCCTAAGCATTATGAGGATTTGTGCATGATTACTGCGGTAGAACTGAAGGGGGTAAAGCAAAGTCCTTATACGAATTGTAGCGATTCGGATGGGACAACTGAATTGGAGGAGGTGGTGTTGCAAGCTGAGTGTGTAAGGGTGATTGAGAAAAGAGCCAGAGATGAAAGAAGAGACCTTCTGAGAGTGTGTAAAAAGGCTAGGCTTAATGGGAGAAAGAAGAAGAGAAAGCGCCCAGCCTGAACATAGTAGCAGTGCCGTGCCGCGACGTTAAATCAGACGCTTGTTTGGAGGTAACCCGTCTTTACTGTTTTCTTTTAGTTTTATTTTTCTTCTTATTATTGTTGTAGTATTTATTTTTGTTTTGTAGGATTATAAGAATAATAAGCGCATCCATTGAAAGAGTGCAAAAGTGAGTTAGATGGTGAGAACTAAGTGTGGGGTGCCACACAAAGGACGATGCCTGAGGGAAGTCTGAGTACCTCGTGAGTCGCTATTGCTTCGGCCTTTGGCTTACCAGGGAGTTCTTTTTACCCTCTTGTTATTTATGCTGTGTAGTGAGTACATGGTACAATTTTAAGTATGGGGTGAGGAGATTGTTTGGGTGAGGTTCTGTGCTATTTTAGCTTAGTTGTAGTACTCGTTCTTAGTGTAGAGTTTTTGTTAAAAAAAATAATAATAACAATAAAAAATAAATAAATAAATTTGGACTTGTCCCGACGATGGATCTCCTAGACAGTTTTCTTGAGGGATTTAAGTCTAAAGAAAAAAGAAAAAAGATTTTCTTTGTAGGTAGTAGTAATTCCCCCTTGGTTTTTCTTTGTGCCGCAGTTCTTTTCCAAGGGTTTTGTTTGAACCGGGTGTAGGTAGTTTTATTTTTTTAGGAGAGAAGCCATGGTGATGTGAATTGAATTGAAGCAATATCTCTTGAATTGTTATGCCTTGAGAACAGTGAGTACTTTAGTTGTGACGCTTATGCTCAGTTTTTGACTCTTGTATAAATACCTTAAATTGTATGATCTTAACTTTGCTTAACTTCTTTGACTAGAGTGTCTTGATGAGTCCAATCCTGAGTGAGTTATGTGCCATGTGTGTGTAAGGTTTTGTGTTATTCTGTGCATTACATTTGATGTCTAGAACTTGCCCAGTGTGTTTGCAAGGCGAAATAGTAGTTTTGTTCAATCTTGGAAGTGATATAGGCGTTTCTTTGTTGAGCCAGATATATATAGTTTATACGCCTAATTGTTATGTATCATAGTTAACCCCTTTGAGCCTCTAATCTTGTTTCTTTGGCAACCACATTACAAGTCTTACCTATTTGTTGGAATTAACCATCTATTTGAACCTTTTCACCTCTCATGAGTACTTGAATTGCTATGAACTTTGTAAAAGTTAAAGTGTGCGGTGGTTGGTTTGGCTTTTGAGTGGAACTAATAAAATAAGGAGAAAGGTGCAGTGTTTGAAAAAAGCAAGAGCCACTTGAAAAGAGAAAAAGAAAAAAAATAGTTGTATTGTTGTGAAGAATATTCTTTGATAGTGGTGACTCTTGATGTAATTGTGTTTAAAGACGTATGGAGTGAATATACATTAATGTGAAGGTGGAGTTATGGTTTGACATAAGTGTGAGGTTTTAAATGTTAAAGTGTATGTATTAAAGTGCTTAGGGAGGTGTAGTCACTCTTATATCTAAATGTGTCCTACCCATCCCGCAGCCTACATTACAACCAAATGAAGTCCTACTTGATACTAGACTGAATGAGATCGATTAGTAGAGTAGTACACTACGAGCAAGCTTATGATGCATCTTTTGTGGCATATGAATGTTATTTCTGAAAGTGAGTGAATTCTTTCTACCTTGAGTTCCTAATTATTCTTAAATTATATTGTGCGTGGAACTATTCTCTTTTGTTGTGTGAGAGCACTTGATTTATGAAGGAAAGGTAATTTTAGTGACCTCAATGTTAGAGTAAGTGGGTGAGTTGTGAATAATGCGTGGTACTTGTGATTCAAATCTTGAGGTGAAGATGTTACACTCTTGTGCTTAGTCTATTTTAAATATTCTTGGTGTGATGAGTTAGGAGAATTGTTTAAAAAGGCCGTGTCTATATAAAGTGTAATTTGATTACTCGAGGACAAACAATGATTTAAGTGTGGGGTGTTGATGATAAGCTATAATTGTGTATTTTAGTCGCTTATTACACTCTAATTTACTGCACTTTAATTGAGTTGGAGCTTTAATCACTAGTGTTTTGCACTAAATATATATTTTATGCCTTGTATGAATGATTTCGAGCTATGTGGATGTTATCAAATGAATTCAAGTGATTTGGATCTTTGAAATCTGAGTAAAAACTCAAGGAATTAAGCCGATATTGTGTTCGGGGATCAACGGATGATAGTTAAGAACGAAACGGAGAATGGAGCGGGCATACAACACATTGTCTAGTAAAATCCACATAACTTTTCGCTCAGAACTCCGTTTGGGCTTCACAATATATCCTTGGAAAGCTATTTGAAAGCGATACAACTTTCATGTTTTGCATTTTCGCAAATTCTCACTACCGCACCTCATGGAGCGCCGCAGGATGCGGCACAGCCATATAAAAGCGGGCCTAACAAGAAAATGCAAGGCTGCTGATAATCTCCACTAGCACGGCGCAAGGTGCGGTGACGCTATTTTGAGGACTTTTGAGACATCTTAGACCTAGAGAGACTATTTTGAAAGGGAGAAGACGGTTGGAGCATTTGTTGTAGGAGGAAATCATTGAGTTCTTCATTCCTTCATCTTTGCTTTGTAATTTGTTTATGCACAATACTTGGAAAATTGTTGCTACGAACATGAGTGACTAAGCACTCTAGTTTCTAGGGTTGTGGTTGACATAATTATTAACGTTTATTAATTACATCTTCGTTAATTCAGATTATCATCTTGTGGTTGTTTATCTAATTCTGTGCATAATTGCTTAATTGTCTGGTCAGCAGTTGAGTTCTATTAACTATCTATGCTATGCTTGGGAAAACCATGTTTAGATTAGAGTAGAATTAAAGAGAGTTTATTTCTAAACCCGTAGCTCGGGGGAAGATTTTACTGTTATGACAGAAATATACCTAATAATCTTGCTTAATTAAATACCGTATTATATTCGTTCATGATAGATTCAATACCATAGAAATATATGGTTGATATATTGTGGGCAGACGAGTAGTATTATTGAAACATGCTATTCATATAAAAGATCTGATTAATTAGCAACCATAGATAATCTGGAATAACGAGTGTGATTATTGAACTTAATAGGATTGATAAACTAACCACAACCCTGAAATCTTTATCTCCTCTGAATTAAAGTCTCATAATACCCATTTGCATTCTTGTTGATTTAGTTGATATTTGTTTAATTTCCGTAATAGTAGACTAATAGAAGAACATCACTCTTGATTATCTTGGACAATTAATTGATTTTAGTTTGCTTAGTTAACGATCAATCTAAGTCTTTGTGGGTTCGACATCTGATTTTTGAGTCACTTTATTACTTGACGACCACGTATACTTGCATGTGTGTTTGGTCCCAACATCGCTCCCAATGTTTACGTCAAATTCAAATAACTTAGTTTTAGCTATTTACTGCTATTAAAGAAGGAGATCTTGTCAAGCGCACTGGATCTATTGTGGATGTTCCTGCGGGAAAGGCTATGCTAGGGCGTGTGGTCGATGACTGCTTTTTCAATGATATCGAAACATTTTTGCCTCACATAGTGGTTTATGATATCAGGAATAGTGGTATATTCACATCTAATTAGGAGGACAGGGGGACATGGAAAAAGAATCATAGTGAGTCAAAGGTAACGTGAGAATATACATTACTTAACCATACTTAGGTGATAAATGACCATATGAAAGAACCAGGGTGGAGCAATAGTATAACGTACTGATTCAGACGAACCTAATAACTTTTGTTTAAGCCTTATATTTTTATTAAATTTTTTACTAATTGTTTGCAAATTTAGTCGTTCCCAATGGCTATAAACGACCATATTTGCCCCCCCCCCCAAATCCAACGAACAACTTTTGGCATGGTGGAGGGAGCGTGACAAGACTTTCTCAACACTTTCAATAATAGCCAGGAGTATCCTTGCTATTCAAGTATCATCAATAGCATCGGAGAGTGCTTTTAGCGCGACAAGATTTCAAATCGGAGATCATAGACATTCATTAGCGGAGGATAGCCTACTTCAAATAGAACTCTTCCTAGAAGGTGGCTGTGTAGATTAGGTCCTCAATTCAAAAGAATTATATTTGTATGTGAAATTTGAAAGTTCTATTGATAAAATAAAAGGCACTAAGCCTTGAATTTTTTTTATGAATTGTCTTACACTCTTACTTACTTACTTAATGGCTTGAAATTATATTAAATAAATTATAATTCTATTATAATTATAAAAATATTTCATTACAAGTCTTTTGTTTTAATATATAATTCTTTACTTAGTTTCTTTATAATTTATTAAGTTTATTAAATAACTCAAAAAACTAGTTGTTACAAACTTTAAAAACTTAGTCATTGTTAAAAAACTAATAGTTGCCAAACTTAATGCTTAAATAATTAATTTTTTTTTTTTAAAAAAGGCCTACTTAAGGCCCGCGAACCGTCCCGTCCCATCTTGTTTCTTAGCAGGGTGGGATGGGCCTACCATTTCGTCCCGTTTAGGCCCGTCCTGGCTAAATGTCGTTTCGTCCTGTTCCGACCCGTTTATTTAGTCCCATCCCGTCCAGTTGGACAACCATACGACGGAACATTAGTTTCAAGGGATATATATTTTTTTTTTGAAGTTAGACTTTAAATTACTTTGGACATCTTTTCTGTATTATCATTTCTAACTTGCTCCAAAATACTTATCCCTAACTTGATTCATCTACTCCCTCCGTTCACTTTTGCTTATTCATTATGGATTTTACACACTCCCTAAAAAATAATAAATGAAGTGCGTAATTTACCATCATACCCATATTAAATAATGCATATTTTTAATCGATTTGAGAAAATAATTTAAAATGAATAATTAATAATGTGGGTATAACAGAAAAAAAGAAATTATCTTATTTTGATATGCTAAAAATGATAAGTAAAAGTGAAAATCTATTTTTAGAATACTGGACAGTAAAAGTGAACAAAATGAGTATATAACTTTCCAAACATGAGATTTTTAGGGGTGCTACAAAGTGTATTTTATACTCCCTCTGTTTTAATTTATGTGAAACTGTTTGACTGGGCACATAGTTTAAGAAAAAATTAAGACGTTTTGAATTTGTGGTCCTAAACAAGTCAAAATGGGGCTCAGAATATTTGTATGGTTATAAAAACTTCTCATTAAGGGTAGAATTAAAAGTTTTAGCTAAATTATTTCCAAATTTAGTGAAGAGTAAATAGATTCACATAAATTAGAACAGAGCGAGTAACATTTATTTTTGGAAACTTAGACCAGAAAGTCCACATTTATCAAGTCTAGGTACAATTAGAGGGACCAGATTTGCAAAATTAAGAAAATGCAACTGAAAAAGACAACAAAAGTTATGTACTTTTTGTGATATTTCTATTTCCTCCTCCATATATCTCAACTCATGAAAAACACAACCCTCGAATGCCTCATACGCTATAAAGTTATCTGAGTTCTTCTTTCATATAGAAATTTTTTCCTAACGGGTTATTATAAATACCAAGGTATGATCTTTTTCTCGTTTTTTCTTCTTCTGGGTATGCTTTAATTTTGATTAAAAATCCTTAAATCTTTCCGGGGCATTCTTGATTAGAAAAGGGTAATTTTTTTTCCTAGTCTTTTCTTGTTGAATTGGATATTTTATTAGCTTAAGGAAGTGATTTTCTTATGTTAAATGTTTTGATCTTTTTTATGTCATTGTAAGTATAAATGTATAACCCTTGTGGCCTTGTTTTGCTTATTTGTTTATATATATGGCCTCTTAGGTTTTGTTTATCTTTTGTTATGTTCTCTCTGTTTTGCGTTGACTCTTTTGAGACTTACCCTGAAAAGGTTTGTATCATGTGTTTGTGGGTTGGTAAGTTAT